CTATCTTGCTCATATTTCATGTGAGGGCAGCCGACTGCTGGGTTCATGAACACAGCAAGGCAAAGACAAGCTGGGGCTGCAATGAGTGTGCAAGCAGAGCGGGGTCTTGTTTTTGGCGACGTCGGATCTTCGAGTCCCCAAGACTCCCCCGAGCTACCCCGGCACTGCTTTCCCTGCCTTTCGGACATGTCCTCTTGGTAAGAGAGCGACACACTCGCCAAGTCTCCAAGACCTATGGTCCGTTCCAAAAGAAACCCAGTCTCGCGGATGCCCAGTAAACTCCCAAGTCATGGTGCCTTGCAGGGTGCCCTCGCCTTTCGTGAAAGCGTGGTCACGGGCCGAGTTGTCCATTTGCCAGTTGCGCTGCGTTGCGTTGCAGTGATCATGAGGATTCTTGAAGAGCTTACAGGCTGGGGTTGGATTGATTGTAGTTTATCGGGTTCGAGAAACTTTAGGACCCAGGGTCAGGGTGAAGAGCTCAAGCCTGATAGTTTATGTCAATGTGTTCCAAGGAGGCGCCAGCAACCTTTGAAGAGCTCCCCTAAACCCTAAACCCTAAACCCTAAACCCCCAAAACCTAGCCTCGCATCGGAGGTCCATGTTCAGCTACCTTTTGGACCCTGGTACCATCGCCAAGGCGAGGTTTCTTGCAGCTTCGGATCTAGAAAGGGTTACAGATTTGGGGGTTCCGATATTAGGGGGGGCACCTTTTTGGGGTCCGTATTATAGAGGAATCCTACTATTCGGGGGTCTTTATGAGGGCTCCCTCATTTTCGTAAAACCCCCATTTACAGATCAGAGGTTTTCAGAGAGTCGGGCTTTGGGGCCTACTGCCTGGTCTGGTCTTGTAGTCGGTTCGGTGCGGATTTGGCCATTTTGGGGTGTTTCATCTCCAGGATTTCAGTTGGACTCCCGTAAACCCTGTAAACCCTAAACCCCCCACCCTAAGCCCGACTCTCTCTTGGGACGTAGCGATGTCGAGTCTTGGGACCGATGCGCAAGGTCCGCAGGGTGTATATTTCCGTCGCGGGGAGAAATCCCAAATCCAGAGACCATGGGGCATCACCCTAAACCCTAAACCCTAAACTGGGACCATAGACAATCAGTGGTGTCATGATCTCTTGACTCTTTATGGGATCTTGGGGAGCGGAGTGAGGTGTGACATGGGGGTGTGGATTTTGAGACATGCACGGAGTAGCTGCCCCAACCCCCCTCTGCACATGATAAAGCTTTCGTCCGATTCTGAGGCAGCATCTCTTGAGCTACTAGTCTCCATTTCAGAATGCAGTTCCATCTTCCGATGCCGCAGTTTAAGTCACGGACAAGGAGGCGCAGTGCTCCCCAAAAAACAGCCTCTTCGTCCAAAAAGTATTCGCAGTCACAGTTCCAAAAGGCAAAGCCTGTCATGTAGGCTACCAAGTCTGTACGGGTGTTTAGTCTAATGTTGTGCTCGGTTAAATATCTGGCCCCCCCAACAAAACTTTGATTGGGCTCAACAATACCAAATGCGTTGAGAGCTGAGAGGTTGTGAGGTCGAGGGGTCGAGTGTTGAGGAGCTTAGCCTTTGGGGAGTTGAAGGGTTGACAGGTCCCACCTCGGAGGAATGGGGCTGCGGGTTCAACCGGACACAAACACGGTACTTCATCCAGCCTTTGCCCTTGCACGAACTTCGTTACTGCGGGCAACCTTATCAGTAATTTTCAAGCACCGCAGAATCGTGGGTAATTAATGAAACTAAACCCAGCAACCCTCCACAGTGCATGCTGGGCAGGTCCAAATGGCGACGGAACCGGAGACCCTGACCCTGCTGAGAAAGTTCATAGGCACCCTGCGGCGGGCGAATGGTGCAAGTCATGTTTGCTGAGCCGTAAACCGGACACCTCAAGGGCCTACAAGGTGTTACAAGCCTCACGCAAAGTAATTGCCAGCGCCCAGTGGCTCGTGTGCAAGCCAGGTGATGGCACCATCCCAGCGTACCTCGGAGGACCGAACGGGGGAGAAGTCTCTGACACCCTAAACCCGATGGCAAAGCCCACTTGTGCACCGTGATGAGAGGCACTCCAAGCCATCAACGTTGCCCTCGACTTGTTTTCGCATCAAACTCTGCAGATATCGAGATGCTCAGGTTCTAAACTGTTCTAACCCTTCTTAGTTGTGACATGCATGTGTAGACGCGTTTTGTATGTTTGTTTTTGTGTGGAAGATTCCACTGGCGTGCATGCGATGTATGCCTTGGAACCGCACACCCTCCAAAGCCTACACCATGTGCCGCTGCGCTGCTTGACTCCGGGGCTCCTACAAGTTTTCAACCAAGTCTTCAAGAAGTCTAAATGTCTGGATTTATTTGGGGAAGAGGACTTGGGTGAAAGCTCAGGGTTGAGAGGGCTTGTGCTCTCACCAGGGCAACTGCGCATCGACGGTGATCCGTACTGCCGCAAGCTCCTGGCGCCTGCAGCCCAGAGTTGAACTTCTGAACGCGCCCAGCTGTAGGTGGATTTGAGCCGCATAGCCAGTGGCAGCTGTAATGTACAGGGTGTGTGTGTGTGTGTGTGCTGGGGGCTGGGACTGTTTACGCCATGTAAGCGAAGGTTTCTGTTCCAGGTTCGGCATGCAAAATGGCGAGAGTTCCGTGCAGCAAGTTTGCATGTCGCGCAGCGCACGATCTTGATGAGGATTTGGGCTACAAGAGGAGAAAAGAGTATAGCTAAGCCTGCTCAGCCAACACTATCAGGAACACTGCCTGTGGAGCAGGGTACCCAAAGGGTCAATACAGAAAGCCAAGGAACATGCTTGGGTTGGTGTTGTGGGTTTGTACTTTGCACCTACTAGGGTTTAGGGTAAGGCCAAACGTGCCGCACACGGAAATCCGTACTCAAACCGCTCCCGCGGGACATGTTGCACAGTGGACGGGATGGCCGGAAGGAACAGTAACATATTCTCTATTGTGGACTGTAGGCTTTCCCAATCGGCACCCCTCGGAATGTTCTCCAACAGTCCTTCATAGGGATTATAATAGAGGGTACTGTTACCATTTTAAATTAAGGAGCTGTTAGTATTAGGGGGCAACGCCCCAAGGCACACCCTGTATAACACATCCGAGGCCAGGGGGCTTTCCACCTGAGGAAGCTCTTGCAAGGCTTATCTGGGGGTTTCCGAAATTAGAGGTTTTAGGGTTTAGGGTTTAGCATGGGGTTAGGGTTTAGGGTTAGGGCGTTAGTGGTACCTTATTGGCACTGGTTAGGAATCTACATTGGGGGGGGGGGGGGGGCTCGTGCACCAAACCCTGAGCCCCTTGAGCCATCAATCAGCCCGAAGGGCGCGTTCGGGGAGGAACTTGGGTCTCTTGTATGGAAAGCATTCAGGTGTAGGACCCGAGAAGTTTCGGATGTGGGTTTTCTGGGTGATTGGCGATGAGCGTTCGCCCTCGTTTCATTGCGATGCTGGACCTCATATTCTGGGTTGGCCCTAAACCCTAAACCCTAAAGATACCATGTCAGGTTCAGGCACCCTTTACATGCCCAAACAAAAAGCAACCAGTGCGCACTCTGTGTCTGGACCTCTCAAAGCTCTGAACTCAGATTTCTAGTCCTAATTCTGTATCTTTTCGTAGACCCGGATCCCTAAATTCAGGAGGAGTTAAAACCTCAACGTGGTGGCAATGGTTTGCATGTGCGCTTGAAGGGTTGGGTTTGGGGTCCAGGGGTGAGGTCATGTGCAAGCAGGCTAGGATTTCAACCCTGGGTGGGCGGTACTACTGTACGAATCAAAGCTTGGGCTTTGTCTCAGAAGAGGCGTGCCAATGTTGTTGCTCTTCATTGTGCAGGTTTCTTTCCAGGCTCCGTACACTCCTACTCAGATCGTACAGCTGTGGGCTCTGCGACGAACTGAGCATTTGGCAAAACTGGCACGGAATGAGCCTTTGGATCACGGCTCACGGAACATACATTGTGAAACTAGTGCAACGCCTTGCACGGTCAATGCCTGCGTTTGTGTTTGTGTGCCGCGTGCTAGATGTGGGTAAACGGCTCATTTGTTTGGAAGGGAATACAGGGCGTTTCCTGCTGATGCTCCTGTGGCATTTGACTTGCGACGCCTTTGCCAATGTGTGTATTTTCGCTCGTTCTCGTTCTTTTGTGTGATTTTGAATTGATCATATTCATGTTGGTCCTGAGGTTTGCCCTCAGAGCCGGGTAGTTTCTCGCTTGTTCCCGGTGCCAGGTTAGAAAACCTGGTGGAAAACGGAGACGGCGGCATTGGTGTCCATCACCACAGGCTGGAGCGTGCAGAGCTGGGGGGATGGGCGGGCGATGGTGGAGGAGGAGGCGACCGATGTTTTTTGAACGTCCTGATGCACAGAATCTTGTGCTGAAACCTTGCATCGTGCGTGCGTACATGTGTGTGTGTCGTTCAGTGTACTGCACCGATCCGCTGAGTACTTACCCAGTACCCTGTGACCAGTTCGTCTTTCCGGATAGGCTCGGGGATGATCGGCCATGTTGACGGGTATGTAGGGTTCGGATTTGCACGCTTTGGTTCTGCCTGAAGGGGCCCAGAGAATCTGGGTGGAAGCTTCCACATTTCCATATGCTTGAGGTGGAGTCGTAGAGTGGTGGCCAGGTGTAGGATTTTGGCACTGCCGTCCCTTAAGCCCCCTGTCATCTTTCTATGCCCCAACCCGGCTGAGTATCGCCCTACGGTTTGGGCTTGTTTCAGTTTTAGGGTTTGGGGTGTGGCGTCGCCTGGCTTGCTCCAACTGCAGCTAGGTGAGAAAGAGCGCGCATGTTCCAAACACATCGGCCGCTATGTGCCCAGAAGAATCGCTGGCAGCAAATCAGAGACTCAAACGCTTACCCTCAAATCTCGGAGAAAAGCCACAACAAGCTTCTGAAAGGAAGACATCGTATAGTGTGTTGAGGCCTGGCCAATGCTTCTCAGAGTCCCCAAGTCCCCAAGGTTCTAACGCATCCTTCCATCACTTCTTCAGCAGCCTTGCGCTTGCAATGGGCGATGAGCCCGAACGAACTGACTCCGCCGTCCGCCGTGGACGAGATACTGAGTTCCAGCTGCGAAATGCGCCGAGGCATTACATCGACCAGAGTGTGCAGTTTCTTGGCGAAAGTGTTTGGTCGGTACGCCTACGACCCCATACTTTCTGTTTTGCTTAAATTAAAAGGACTGTGTCGACAGGCTGAGGGCGCCCAGGGCAATCTCCCAAGTTTCTCCCAACCTCCTAGGACTTCAAACCCTTCTTGGGCCCCGATCCTCGTGGGAGACACGACGAAAAAATGGGTCACCTTGCATTGTGTTACCAGGTACAGTACTGTTTTCGGTCTCAGCACATGCTACCCTACCATCTGGCTGTCTGTCCGTCTGTGTTGCTGTGTTTGTATAAGCAGCACCGGCTGTGGCATGTTCCGACATCAGCAGCTGCTCCCTTTCCGGTTGACATCCTATGCCTTGTGCTTCAAGGCTTCGGAAGTTGCAACCTTCTCGATTCCGATTCCTGCACCCCTCCACTCCTGCCCCGTCGCTTTGTTGCTCGACTCGCGGTACCACGTGCTCTACGACAAAATTTGCATCGCATAGCGCAGATGGGCAGTTCGGAAGGCTCCGTACAGCCCTTCTCGCGTCTTGAATCTTCTTAAATCTGATTCAGAAGCTGACGTACTCATGCCAAACATACCGTGGCCCTGCTCCGTACCCAGCTTTGGCACATCCTTGGGCTTCTCCAACTTAATCAAAAGGTCCTAAACGGCCTTATAAAGTAAGGGCCCTTCTAATTGCAACGTTTTGAGTGTTAGGTGTTGCGTGTCACCCTTCAAGGAGCCCCTCACCCCGAGAGAACGCTCCCCAGGTATCTCCTCCTCGGTGTCATCCTCGGTGCGCTTGGCTTCATCATCGCGGTTATCCCAATGATCATCAGAGGCGTTAGGGTTTAGGGTTTAGGGTACACCCTCAAAGTGGGCCCAAGCACCTTCATCGAAATTGAGGGCTTGCTTACAGCGCTTCCCGTGCTGTAAGGATTTACTTTGAGAAATCTCCACTTGTAGGCTTCTAAATCATTAGTTTTCTTTTTTATGATGGTGATGGTGATGGTGATTAGAAGTATGGTATTATCATTATTACTATTATTATTATTATTACTATTAACTTGTAGGCTTCGATCATGTCGCGGTTTCACTTGTTCACCCTGCCTTTTTTTGGGTTGGGTCTCGAGCGCTCTACGGGCAACTTTGGCTGCACTGTGAAAGCCCAGATCGACTTAGAGGCTTCTGGTGTAATGCTTGCCGAACGACCTGCGAGCAGGCTTCACCGGCACGATTGGGGCGACAAATCTGCGATGCTCGGCTGTTTCGTTTTTGACGGAGCACTCAGCCCACTTCGCTCGACATCCCATTAGCCGTGGCGATGAGTTGGGGACTGATCGAAGCAGCAAATCTTGGTCGGGAATGTAACGTTTTGTGCATGGTATTGCCTACTGCAGGTATGTCTACGTCTACGTGTCCAGAAAACTTGTGCTACTGTGCTATGTGGGGTCAGGGGGGATAGTTGAACACGTAGGCTGCAGCTCTCCACAGCTCTCCACAGCTCTGATGTTTCGCTGTGCGGTCACTAGTGCCGGTACTCCTCTCTGGCTCCAAAGCTGTCAAAAGGTGTGGGAGGCATGCCAAGTCTCAGGCTCCGGTTTGAGAGGGATCCGGGGTGCTTGCCACGATAGGTTGGTAGGTTGGGGTTTGTGGGGCTTGGGATTCCAAAGCGGGTCTTCTCCATGCTCCAGCCTTAGCAAGCTTCCCAGCTGCTACAAGCGTGCGTCCCGACTCTATGCCAACAACAACCGGACAGCCCGCAATCTCTGGCTTCATGCCCTCGCATCAGCCAAGTCCAGGAACGAGCTTCCTTCCAGCCACTGTCTCGGAGTTGGTTTCCCAGCGGCCTGGACAAGGTTTTTTGCTCGGGTCTGTGGCTCTCTGGTAAGGTGAATGTTCGGGAGGTTTCGAGAACAGACCGGGGGGCTTGTGGGGTTGTCGGTTCTTGTTTAGAGGATTCGAGCGATGTCGGATGTTCTCGAAATTTCTCGGGTGTAGGGTGTGTGGGGCATCTGAAGGATTGGGAGCCCCAAAGAAGTGTAGCATGCACTTGCGAAGCCCCAGCCCCACACCCTTCGGCTAATAAAGTGCCTTGGTTGGGCAAGTGCAGAGATGGCTAGTTTAGGGTTGAGGGTTTAGGGTTTAGGTTCAGCAGAGAATGTGAGAGTCTTGTGCCTGTTTCACGTATCGCTGCTTTCGCAGAAGTAGAGAGCTGCAGGTGGGACAGCGTCGAGGCCCGGATCTTCTTTGGTTTCGAGCTCATGGCTGCTGCTGGGCTCTGCATTCCATGAGGGTGTAGGGTAGCGAAGCTAAGACACAAGTCACAAAGAGCATCGGTTTCGGACTTGTGCGGGCCTGCATCCCTAAAGCCCCGTTTCTCGCAAGCACCGTGGTGTTGCACCCAAATTCTGTCTTGAGTGGTTGGTTTGCTGTAGCGCATTCACCTCATTCCCCTTCGTCATGGCACCAGATTCGACTTGCTCCCCCTTGGAGATGAGTCCGGGGGGGCTGCTTTGAGGCTTTGTGCATCCTGCTGTCCTGGTACCCCTACAAGCTGCGAAATGCGAGCTGTATCCCGGCAGAGGGCGGCTGCTACATTTATTGCTGCGGAAAGTGCTGCAGCATGTCTTGGGCAGCTGCGCGCCAGCTCCCCCAACTGCATTTGAATTTGGGGGAGTCTGAAGTGTCCTACGGTTCCCTTTTGAAACATCGTCAGCTGTTGTTCCGTCATCCCTAAGCCGCTTTTAACACCCAAAAGAGCTACGCCTCACAAGGTTCTTCCCACCTGTTGGCCTTATGCTGGTGGCCTGCGTACCTTCAGTCAAGGAGGACCTATCACCTTTAAGTTGGGTAGCTCCATGTAAATCCCAAGTTTGGACATGAAGTCGAAGCAGACCCCTCAAAGCCTCAGAACGGACCGACCTTTTGAAGTGCCTGCGGGGGTCCCTGCATGGGCTTGGGGAATCATTGTGTAGCACTGGCCTGCTAGGACACCTGCTTGTGGAACACCCATGCTCGGCGAAGCCTATCCCCCCCCCACCCACCATGTTGCTTCTCTCCTTCTCAGGCCCAAGCTGATGGCATGTAAAAGCCTGAGCACACCTGAACCTTATGCCAAATCCAGCATTACCCCCCCCCCTCGCAGCTCGCGGGCTTTCTTTCTAAGCTTCGGGCCATTCACAAAGAGACCCCTGGTTTCACTGGATGCTTCTGGAACTCTGATCTGTCTGGGAGCGGGGGCAAGGGATTCAAGGATGCCGTTGACAAAACAGCCCGGGGATCAAGTTTCACGATGGGTAGCCGGAGCTGTCATTGCGGCCGCTCGTTACAACACAACACCCACCCAAACAAAGTTGCCAAGCTTCCCTGGGAGCCCTGGATTCAAAGCTCGGACCTTTTCATTCCAAGCTTGAGTCTCCTGATCCTAATGTGAAGGACCTTGCATCTTTCGATTCCAAGGCTTCAAGGTTCAGAGTGCAAAGGCCCCCCAAACACTACATGATTTGGAAGAAAGGGGGGGTTGAGTTCTTATTTTTAGATTCCCAGAACAAGCTAGTTGACGACATTACGTGAGCCTTGCAAACGCCCAACGCTCTACCCGCCGCGGCCGGCAGGATGAATGGAGTGCTGACAAGCTTGTCCTGGTGGTGGTTCACTGTGTCTCCGCGCTGCGACATGGCATCACGAGGACCTTACCAGGCTAAGGCCCCTAGCAGGCCCTACCACCCCGGAAGAAATCCGCCCGAGACCCAATGACCCAAGCTTTTCTGCCCAAGGGTCCAGGGATCCGCTTCAAGTAGGAGTTGGTGGCTAAACTCCATTCAAGAAGTATTTACACCACTATCAGAAACCGAAACTCCCCCGCCAACTAAGGCTTATGTTCAGCAGCTTCCTACTGGCAGAAGCGCATGCGTTGTCGCTAAAGCCCTTCCGATGCGCAGTTCCTCGCGGACGAACTCATGTTTAGGGTTTAGGGTTTAGGGTTTAGGGTTTAGGGTTTAGGGTTTAGGGTTTAGGGTTACTGTGAAGAGCATATTGCAATGGGCACCCAAGAAAAGCTCAAAAAAAAGCAGAGCAACCCCCATGCCGCAGTCATAAAGATGCCTTAGGCGATAGTTGCCTTTAAGCTTGCTTTGGTTTATTTATTGCTGTCATTCTGTTTTTGGGCTGCTTGGTTCAGGTTCAGACTTGGGATGTCCTCCCAAATACCCACAGTCCTTAATAGGGATTATAAGAGGGGGCGCAAGAATTCCTATTGAGGACTGTTAGTGTAAGGGGGCACATCCCAGGTTCAGACTCTTGCTGCCGGCTCTCTTGAGTACAAGCTGCGCTATGGAACCTGGCTGCTGGCAGCGCTGCCCTATGTTGTTTTCACCATGATCCGGGGGTAGGTTTGGACATAACTTTTATTTTTTATTGCCCTTAATCCCCTAAATGATCCTTATAAAGCCATAAAAGTTATAATTTTCATAGGCCCCCCCCCCAACCTACCCCAGGATCGCCGTGGTGGATTTCCTTACCGACCTGCATCCGTATGTGAAGATCACATCCTTCGTTCTGGAGGTGCCCCCTTTGGTTTTTTTGTGGGATGTCTTGCTTTCAGTTTGTGGTCGGGTGCATCATGCTTGGGCCCCCGCGAACTTGCCTGTCCCCATACTTGGCCAAGGAGGCCCCAAGAGGAGATGAGGAGTGTTGGTGTACAGGGGCCAGCAATCACGTTTGCACCTTTCTGGCAGGCCATTGCATCGAGGCATGGTATCAGTCGTTACCAGTAGTATCTTTGTCTTCTATGGTTGCCAACCCTCCTACAACAGCAGCAGCAGCAGCCGCGGCCGCATCGGCAGTAGTAGCAGGAGCAGGAGCAGGAGCAGGAGCAGGAGCAGGAGCAGGAGCAGGAGCAGGAGCAGGAGCAGGAGCAGGAGCAGGAGCAGGAGGCATCACAGCGAACTTCAGTCACCCACTAAATACGCAATTGAACATGCAGGTGGATGCAGGGTTGGCGATGCTGGCGAACCATTTCGTCATCTGGCTGCTTGGGCGCACCTTCGACCCGAATCCCGAAAGTCTATATGTGCCCTCTCCTCTTCATGCGACATGAATCCCATGACGGCGCCCGCCAGGGCGTTTGCGCCGGAGCGAACATGGAGCCGGAGGGAGGTCGAAATGTCTCTGACACGTGTCTGACCAGCAGGGCTTGAAGTGGGGTTCACGGAGTTGTCTCACACAGACAGAAACTCACGCGAGCCTTGTATGGCAGGTTCTTGTCTCTAGGCATTTCGTAGAGCGTGTGCACGAGATCACCAAAGCTGTGTATAAAGGATGGGCTCTTCCCCATCCGAAGCTTACAAATCCAAGCCACCGGATGGTGAACCCCAACACCGAAATTGGGGCCAAATGTTTCGATGGGCAGCTTGCGGCGAGTTGCTTGAAGCCTCCTGCGACGGATTGCCGCCCGAAGCCTCCTGAACAGGACTCGACAGCAGCTCGTGTTCAAAGAATGCAGCCGACTTTTTCTACTATTTATGCTCAGAACTTGTGAGATCCCAGCGCCGGACTGTCGATTCCTGTTTCAGGGTATCACTGAGACTTTCTGGCTACGCTGACGCGGTGCGCGTACCAGACATATCGGTTTCCATACCGCAAGTGTAAAAGCATTCGCTGCGTGCCGGACAGTGAAATCAAGCACAACGACACAGAGAGGCTGCACTGAAACTCTCAGTCCATTTGACAGGCGAATGGGCTCGATCCCGAAAGGCCTGCCCAAGCAATCCCATGTCCAAAAGCACCAAGCCACAAAGCCCCTAACACCCTAAACCCTACACCCTATTATACGCCCTAAACCCTAAACCCTAAACCCTACACCCCACACCCTACACCCTACACCCTACAACGCGCCGAACCCATCTTTCTTGCCCCTCAAAGAATGAGAGCGTCGCAGAGAGCATCTCCTGGACAGGCCCCGTCATCCTTCTGCAGGCCGTCGCGTGGTGTTGCGAAGTGTTTGGGGGGTAGAAGACGAGGCCCAAAAGTTTGCGGGTTCGAATCTGCTCAGGAAGCACGCGTGCTGAAATATGAAAGCCTCAGTTGTGAGCAAACGGTGCGCAAAGCACAGACAATGCACAAGCCTCCTCTCTCAAACTGCCTTGTAGCCTCATAGCTTCGATGTTCCGAATTTGTTAGGCGGGCCGGCCGGGCGACAATCAGTCTGCTGTGCCTTGCATGATCATTTCTGTTGGGATGTTTGGGGAGTGGCTGTGCTTGCGGGCGCTTTGGGTTCGTCTGGTTCTGAGAACAGTCCAGTCCATGTATGTCCATGTTGCAATACTCCCTAAACCCTAAACCCTAAACCCTAAACCCTATTTCATGCCAAGGCTCCCTATGCACACAGCAGTGATGGCTTCCTCACTTCTACGGCCACAGCGACCTCTCACCTAAGGTCTGGGGTCGGGGCGCGATGCAGTTGTTGTGGTTCCTGTTTCCGAAGTGCACTTTGTCCATGCGACTCGCAATCATGTTGCTGAGCACACAACTCCCATGGTCGTGGCAATCCCTTTAAAACTTGGAGCGGGTCTCTGTCCCAAGAACCCGCACCACAATATTACGAGCAATCTGTGGGACGTTTCTGCCAGAGCGACTGGCCAACTCTCATTAGTCAACAGTGCCGCAGCTCAACACAAGCTTTCCTCAGTGCTTCTGGCGGACGGCTCCCGCCGCAGTTTCATGAGATGTTGAAGTTTTGTTCCTTGAGCATGGAGATGTGTAAATCGGCACAGTCGAGAGCAAGCAGACGCTAAACCTGCCGAAAGACGCAATACCGACAGAAGCACTCAAGGCAATGCTTGCTGGTACGTGGCTCACTGGCCATGAAGGCACTCTTTTGCCATTAATGAATCGTTGCTGGCATGCCTGGGCCATCCCTGAACGAAATGCTGCTTCGAGTTGGAGGGTATGAGAATGCTGGATCCACACCTGCAAGTCTAGCCCCGCCGCAGCATGGACGAGCTGTGTGTGTAGTTTGGGAATTTGGGGTGTGTCCAGGCGTCCAGCACATGCACAAGGATTTGCGTCGATCAGTGTCAAACTTTAGAGCCACTGCCATTGGTGCAAGTTTTCAACGTCTGGGTTTGCACCCCAGTATCAGTTGATGCTAAATCAGAACCCTTGAATCTGAATCGAGACGAGCATCAGTCTTAGTGTCTTAGTTTCATCTTCGACTCGGGAAGGGGAGCGCAGATTTAGTATCCAGTGCAAGTAGGCCGCCGGGGGACCTCCGTTCCCCGGAATCGCCAGCACATTTGGCGAGCGTGTCGAAGGCATCTGGGTTTATCTTGAAGTAGCACCCTCTCTTGGGATGGCGCGATTTCCACAATTTTTTGTTTGGGGGGGGGCTTCAGGCATCTTCAGGTTAAGGTTGCGGGATGTTGCGGGGGTTGCGAGTTGATTGGGCGTCGAGACTAGTTAGGAGTAGCCCCCTCCGATCGACAGCAAGTTACCTTCAACCGACCCAACCGACTGCCGTCCCATCGCCCTACGCTCTGGGAATCCCTGTTCTCTGCAAGAGAAGGCGCTGGGAGTGTTTGGATTGTTGGGCTTTTGATGCTCCTTTTTGCAGATCCTTCACATTGAAGTTGCACCTTTTAGACCTCGAACCGAGTTTCCTTGGAACTTCCCCGAACTGGTTCACCTGCTTATTTTGCCCCCGAGCCCTCTGCCTGGGCAGGGTTTAGGGTTTAGGGTTTAGGGTTTAGGGTTTAGGGTTTAGGGTTTAGGGTTTAGGGTTTAGGGCCTAGGGCCTAGGGCCTAGGGCCTAGGGCCTAGGGTTTCGGGTTTAGGGGGTTTAGGGGGTTTAGGGTGCTTTAGACAGAGACCAGGGGTTGTGCATGCGTGTTCTCCTCTTCCTGCGGGATGGCTCCACGCTCTGTCTCTACGCCTTGGCTTAAGGCATTCCGCCTACTGTAGGGCAGAAGATGTCAGGAGTCCCAGGATATCTGTGTGGCCGAAAATGTGCTTTAAATGGGGGGGGGGTTTCCGAAAATTGGTACCTCTTTTGGGGATCACCCAAAGTGGATTCTATATTCTACTTGGGGTAGAAAAGGAGTACCCCTATTTAGGCCCTATTTTGAGAGATGCCCAAAATAGGTTTGTCAGAGTTTGTAAGACCCATGCAAGATCTTCAGCTCACGCGGGGAGCAGCACCGCATCCCAAGGGGAGCTCCAGCGGACCCACGCAAAAGGTCCCTTGCTTGGTGAGTCGACGTTACTTCAGCAGGGTTGTAAGTAAGGTAGCTATACTTCTCACCTGCTAAACTTCAAATGCCGAATAGACTAGGTGATTCTGGGTCTGGGGATGACAATCTCCCTGCCACACCCCTAAAGGCTGCATTCATTCTAATTGCTATCGCCCTTCTCCAATTTTCGCCACCTACGGGAACTTAGCATAAGATGCACCTTGCACACATCTGAACTCACAAGGCTTGTGCCTGGAAGCCTGCGCACGCCAAGCAAGATTGAAAAGATGCGCGGATTTGGGGTACTGGGGTATACTAATTGCGGAATACCGCCAGGGTTCATGATAAGATTCTGCTTACGGGGCCCTCTTGACACTGCACGGCAACCTGAACTCAATGTGTCTATGATCGCCTTGTTTCCTCTTGTTTCCGAATGTGCGTGGAACTCGACAATGCTGTGTACCGTTCGACGAACCCATGTATGCTTGGTTCTGCCACGCTTTGCGTGTCTTGGTGTAGACTATCTTGTGATGAGATTGGGGGGTCTTGTCTTGCTAGCATGGAGAAAGTCTTGTCTTGCTAGCATGGAGAACTGAACCTTGCAACTCCACGCGTGCAAGGCAGCCACCGCTGTGTTCCTCCGTCAGCCTTTGGCTCCTTCGGCTCAGACATGAGGGGACAGATGTCGACAGTTTTGTGGGTTGAGCCTGCCCGACCATCTCTTTTAGACACTGTTTGCCATGAGTGTTGCAAAGTCACTGAGCACTCCTCACCCGGCAGTCCACAGGCAAGGTGCAGAGCAGAGGCTTGGCAGGATTCATAGGCTGCTGCCTCCACTGCAATTCCTGCCGCGCGTGCGCATGCCTGGCAGTCTAGGCCGTGCAGTTGTGCGGCACATGTCGTGTGTGCCTGCATCTGTGGGGACACCTGGGCTTGTGATTGTCAGGATGAATGCACACAGAAGCATGCATTCGGCTGTAATGTTGCACCCTCTTATATAACCTCATCCGAAATCCCGGGACCGTTAAAGAGGGTCGAAGTCAGCTAAAACAATTCTGTCGGGACGTCAAAAATAGGCTTCCCCACGCCCCGCCCCCCCCGCCAACATAACGTGGTGACAATGATGACAATGAGGAGGAGAAGACGCAGTAAGATTGGCTGCATAATAATCACCTGGCTCCCAGAGAAACACAACGACAATGCTGATGGAATTGCTGCCGACAAGTGCTTGACAAAATGCAAAGCTGTAGAATGGTAGAAGAGTGTGGCAAGCGCGGTGAATTTGCACGTTTTCACTTCGCCGTGTGGTCTTACGGTTTGACTGCGTACAATATTTGATGCAACTTCGCATCATTTTGGTAGAGTCGTCGTGCGTTCCGGTGGCATCTGGAGTCTGGGGGGCTTGCTGGGGCTCCCCTCGCTGTGCCTGCCACACTTTCCCGCACTTTCACAGCACCTCAATCACTTACGTATCGTGCTTCGGCGGCAGGTGGCTTTTTGGAGCACGCGCCTCGCAAGAGCGCGCGCACGCTTCGCAAACTAGTGCACTCTCAGTCTTCATGCATTTCACAGAGCCTGCAATTGACCGCAATTGATCAAAAAACCCAGAAGACCGGTCCAACATGTCCTGTCGCCAGGGCTCAAATGGAATACGAGGAGATGCCAAGGGCTTCGCGAGTGCTTAAAGACTTCAAGTTGAAGATAGAAGAGCACTTTTGGCTCCTGAGCAGCATAAAGAAACCTTGATTGCTTGCAGAAATTGAAAGATTCAGTTCGGCACGTGGAGACTGGCAGAGGAGTTGGAAGTTGACTTCCGCAGCGAAGTGAAGGGTGAGGTGGTGCCCAAGGACCCTGCGCACCACTCAAGCCGCTTGAAGCCCAAACAACTTAGGGTTTAGGGTTTTGGGGTTTTGGGTTTAGGGTTTAGGGTTTAGGTACAACATAATCAAGCTAGGC